CGTGGGGGGTGCTGACATAGGAGATGGACGTTGGGTCCGGTTCGGCACACTAGTCCTCGGCTTGTCTCCCACCAGTTCACGTGTCTTGGCTTCTTCAAATCTAGCCTTCAGCACTAGCTCCTCTAGACTCCCTTCGGTGCCGATCAGCTTCCTCTTGAGGTCGGATCGTAACCCAGTTATGAACTGGTTCGCCAGGAGGGTCTGCCCCATACGCTCTGCTTGAGGCCCTTCACTAGTAGCTCCCGCATAGGCCAAATTGTAGAGTTTTTGCAGGTCTTGAGCAAACTGATCCACAGTTTCTTTCTCTTGCTGCTGTCGATTGTGGAACAACTGTGCTTGTACAGCTGTCAGACGAATGGGTGTGAATCTCCGCTTCATGGCTGCCACCAGTAACGTATACTTGCTGCGTACTTCGGAGGTAAAAAGGCCATAGCAGTGTCTCTCAGATTTGATGTCAAATGGACGAGTTTCCAATGATCATTCCAGCCTGCCAACGTCGCCACGTTCTCAAAGTGCCCGTGCCACTCGCTAAATGACTCTCCAGTTGCTCTTCCTTCTCCAGTGAAACGTGGGATCTGAGGTATCTGGTCCATAAGTGGAACCGAGCAGAAAGCAACTGGTAGAGCGGTCACAGGTGACGTAGGAGGTACCACACTACTTGCAGAGTCGTGGGGTACTGTAGTGGCAGGCGAAGCCCCAGCCCCTGGCTGGGTCAGTACATTGGGGTTAGCAGTGGTAGTAGAGGGCACATCCCTCATTGGTGGGGGGTTGGCATTGCTTGCTGGTAGGGTTCCTCCCTGTAGATGGATCAAGGGACTTGGAGAAATAACAGAGGGGATATTCCCTTCAGAGCCTACTAGGCCCACCCCACTCCTACACGGCTGCTCAGCTTGGTTAGTCACAGTTCCATGATGAGGTGGGTAGGAAGTGGAGGTGGTTACTGAGGTTGAGTTACCTCCTGTTCTAGGGAGGACACTCCCTACCCCACTGTTTACAGGTGGCCCTGCTATCAACACAGAGGCACCTAGCGGCTGTGGTAAAGGCTGATAATCAGATGGAAGTGTGGCCACCTGTGGGTCCTCACAATAGGGGAGGCTGTCCCCTAAGCTTCCTAGTGGCTGATATCACCCTTTCTCCTTGATGTGCACCGCTGATAGTGGACTGAGGGCTGTTTACTCCACTACAATGGGACTGTTCTCCCACAATAGAGGGTTGTCCAGTAGTACACACTACAGTGGAGTCTCTATTAACAGACACTCCCAATAGCGGACATCTACCGAATAACGGACGCTGGTATATGCACCGACTGACGTCTCCATATATATAATACGATAGCAGCACCCGAATAGCGGACAAACTCCAAATTCCGAATAACGGACGCGGAGGTCCGCACGCAGTAATAAAGATACATACAAAAAGTGCTCCGATAACGGACAGTGGCATCCATGTGCATGTATAAAATAGCTAGAGTAGTCCATTGTTTAACAATGTTTGCACTATCTCATGGATTCTTTCAATATAAGCCCGAGGTCCATAGAGTCGATAAATGCACGGAACCTCCAAGCCATATCCAGCTCCGCGGTTTACATGACTTCCAGTAACTTCCACGAAACCTTTGTTGCACTCTCTCTTCAAGAAGTTAGACAGTAGCGAGCTAATATTGTAGGGAACATGCCCAACAACGTCGCCTTCTTTATGAATAGCAAGAGCAGACTTGTCCTTTTCGTTGGTGGGCTCGCGTCTTAGAATTAGCACTTTTCCTTGCACCGGAATCCAAATGTCTCTATAGGCATGGTAGCCTCTAATGAAGGAGTTGAACTCAGCTACTGTAAAACTGACACTAGGTGTTGGCTGCGACGCCATAACCTCGCCCGAGACCTTCGCCTATAGCTCGCTGCTGGGGCCCGGGGCGGGAAAGCTGACGGAGGACAATCGATCGAGCACATGATGCTCACGTGCCAGTTACGGAGCACACGTAGTGCTCACAGTCTGTCTGCTAGAGTCCGAGGTCATGGCATCCAAAAAGCGGACTCATTTGTCGGTTGAAAGGAAAGCGGAGGTGATTAAGCATGCTAAAGATACTGGAATGAGTGTAAGAGCGCTTGCAGAATATTTTGGAATTGGTAAAACACAAGTGGAAAAAGGGTCGACTGTCTAAGTTCTCGGACGTCAACGAGCGATTGTACGAGTGGTATACGATGGCCTGCTCCAAGAATATCTACCCGGGAGGCCCACAATTAATCGCTAAAGCGAAGGAAAGTGCCGATCGTCTAGGGAAATCTGATTTTGAAGGAACCACTGGATGGCTGTCTAAATGGAAGAAGAGCTACAATGTAAAGAGAGTGAGTATATGTGGCGAGTCAGGAGATATTTGTGGATACACTGTAACTTCATGGAAGGAAAGATTGCCCGAAATTCTAAGAGGATATGACAAACGAGATGTTTTTATAAGACGAAACAGGCTGCTTCTGGCGAGCACTACCTGATCATGGATTTGGTCAGAAGGGTAAGCAATGTAAGGGTGGGAAGCGGAGTATGTGCAGATTCACAATTGCATTTCTGGTCAACGCTGATGGTGAGAAGGAGAAACCGATTGTTATTTGGACCAGCAAATGCCCTAGATGTTTTAAAGGTTTTAATATCAGTAGCCTTCCTGTGAAGTATTACCATCAGAAAAATGCTTGGATGTCGGGGGAGATTTTGGTGTCTTACCTAACCACTTTCAACCAGAAAATGAGGGGCCAAAGAAGATCTGTTTTGCTACTCCTTGACAACGCAGGCTGTCATCCACCTGATCAACTGCAAGAAAAGTTTTCCAACATAAAAATTGTATTCCTTCCGGCCAATACAACCTCTAAATTACAGCCGCTGGATCTAGGAATTATCAGCAATTTTAAATTTCACTACCGTAGGTTGTTTCTACAGCATGTGTTGGCCAAAATCGACACTGCAACTTCAGCAACAGAGGTTACGAAGTCCATCAATGTTTTAACAGCTGTACGATGGGTGGCACTTGCATGGAGAGAAGTTAAATCAACAACGATACAGAAATGTTTCAGAAATGCAGGAGTTCTAAGCACCGATTTTCAGATAAGTGCACTAGATGAGGAAGATCCTTTTCAGGATATTGAAGAAGATTTTGATATGAGTTCCCTGATATCTCATACCATGGGAACCCTTCATCAATGCTCAGCAGAAGAATATATTACCGGTGACAACTCTCTTTCTGTTTGCGTGGACATGGAGGACGAACAATGGGACGAACACTTTTTAGATAGCTTGGCTGAGGAAGTAGGGCCTGGGAATGGAGATGAGGAAGAGGAAGAATTTAATCTCCCCCACCTGTTCCCAAATACAGAGCTTTAGAGAGGCTATCAATCTCTGGAGGATATTAGAATCTTTCTGGAAGACCGTGGGTGTTTCGAACAGGCATCAACTGCCTCTTCTCTACTGGCTCAAATGGCAACCAAGCATTCATCTACCTTAATTCAATCTACACTTGACCACTTCTTTGAACCAGCACATTAAACCTCAATAAGCACTGTATGAATTGTTTGTACATAATTATACAAATCATTGCTGAGTAGAAAATGAATGGTTAAACACATTTTTAGGTGAGTGGGAGGCAACTAAAACAAAACACCCCAAGAAAGGACATACCCCGAATAACGGACAAAGGCCTATGTACCAAAGTGTCCGTTATTCGGAGACTCCACTGTATATGGGTCTGAGGCATCCCATCTCTAAACTGACTTAGTAGGCCAGTAGCTTGGATAGTTCTCACCACAGGAGCACTAGGCGTCATCCGGAGGGTTGCCGGAGTAAGCCCCCGGTAATGGTCACTGGAGTGAAGTCCCTCTTCACCAACGTCCCTTGTCTGTTCTCCTCCCTCACCTTCCCCAACCACTGTCCTATCACCCCCTCTCTCGAGCATCTGTCCTTGCGACAATGTCCCCAGGCTGGTACCAGAATAGGACTCTCCAGAAGTGATCCGCTGTGCCTCGCTGCGGGACATTCGAGTCTCTTCCCCATAGTTCTGAGGTTCTCTGACGGCAGTCGTCCATCGAGCACGGGTTCCGCACCCCCTATCCGGCTCCGCCGATCTCCGTTCATGATCTGACTGCCTCCGAGTCGGCCCAGTCGGCTGTTCCAGAGCCAAGAGGCTCTCAGAGCTCAGTCTCCTAGTAGTCGTGGTCCGGTGAGCATGAGTTCCTAGCCCCCCATTTGTGTCCACTCCCTGTCTCTCTTGATGCCGCTGACTTCCAGCCAGTCTTGCTCGCTGTCGCTGTACCGAGAGGTTCTCTCGGCCCAGTGCCCCATTCTTCTGCACCAGCCAGCTGGCCGCTGTCAAACTTTCCACCAGGGACTGTACTGAGTTCAGATCACTCGTCAGAGTTCTCAACTGCTCCCTCAAGCGTTCGTTGTCTTCAGCGTCACCTGCGGCAGCCCTGCTAGTCCGCAGGTCCTCCTCTACAGCCTCCAGTCTGGCATACACACGGGACTCCCGCGTTTCCCATTTTCGGCGCTCCTTGTCTAACGTCCGGTATCGCTCCAGCTCCATCTGCTGAGCCAAGGCTTCTCGTGTAGAGTCGGTTGCGCTGTTCTTCAGCTTCCCACCGCTGCTCCCAGTCGGACAGTTCCTGCCGAATCTTCGCGATCACCTCCTCGTTCTCGCGAACCGCCTCTCGCAGTTGCGTCACCTCTTCAGACGCCGTCTCCCGATTCTCTCCGCCCGCTGTCTCGACGAGGCTTTCCAGCTCCGCCGCTCGGGTCTCTGCTCGCTCGGCTCTCGACTCCGCGTCGTCCGCCGCGCTCGTCTTCTCCGCCAACTGCTGTTCCAACGCCTGAACTCGGTCCGTCAGCTCGGCCACGTCGCACTTCGTTTACTCCAGCTCCGCTTCGCAATCGATGAGGTCACTCGTCCCAGGGTGATCCTCCTTCAGCCTGCGGTTCTCCGTCGACAGTCGCTGGACCTCCCACTGGACCTATCTTGGTTCGCAGGGCTTCCATCGTTGTGCCGTCGCTGCTCCGAACTCCACTCGCACGAGCCAAGCGTTCCTTCAGCTAGTTGACTGCTAGCGCACGGATTTAGCGCTGAGAGTTTGACAAAACAATCTTTCCCTGTCACTGAGCGTATAATACTCTGTCTATCCAACTCTGAATTCACATACGTGACACAAAAAATGTAATTAGTAGGAATGTTTTCGAGGGTCAGAGGTTACACATACTTAAATGCAAGTCTCCACACATTTTTATATAGAGCAAAAGAGAGAAAGATGTTGGGATGGATGTATAATATCATTTTTGTTTTCGGCTGAAGCATACTCTTGTTGGTATCCTTTTTCATAATTTGCGCCATCCCTACATCCTCCTTAATTTTGAAGAAATGATTTTTACACTTCTACTAAGTACTAATGTACTAGTGATACAAACACCACACTGAGGATGCTCTTTGACTGCTTCATTACAAAACACTATGTATGCACTGTGTAAATAATGACACTCAACCAGAAATGGAGTTAGTTACAAAAACATTATAGCTACTCATTGACCATCCACTATTGAACACTCTAAGGCAGTAGCATTGGTTGCAGCTTTGGCCTCAGTACTACACCTTGGAGCGAGATCTTTGTAGAGGACAGCCAGTGCAACAAGCACTAACAGAATTGTTGCATTAGTTACTGATAGGGGGAGGAAGGTGTGCTTTCCAGTCTGTTCATAGCTTTCAACATCTGTATAACAAATCAACAAAACCATTGATAATAATCACACTGTTATAGCAAGCTACTTCACTATTCTGAAAGAACATTTGCTTTGTGGAATGAAACATGTGCAAAGCCTTGGCACAAAACCAGCGGCTATGCGATAGTTTTAGCATGCAGTAATGCTTTTCACATTGGAATTTACGCAGTGAAAAAATCTAGTACCAACAAACTTATTCACAGCATCAGTAATGCGTCCGGATTTTCAAGGACCGCTAGACGGATGGCGAAACATTTTCCACACGTGCATGTCTGTTAAGCTCATGTCACAGCTGTGACAAACAAGCATGCATGTCTATTAGTTTTGCCACTGTAAAAATGAAAAGCACTAAAGTGCAAACCCTCGGCGAACTGCGCATGTGCGGTACCACTAATTGATGGGCTGGGCTTTTTATGCCTTTACTCGTGGTATGCTAGTAGCTCGCGGAGAGTCTGACACGGGCTAGCTACATTAGTAAATAGCATGCGGGAGTCGATACATGCCCTTCGTTGTGACTTGTTGTGCCTTCAAGACACACAGAGCGAACGGACGCGGTCGGGGTAAGTCTGTGCTAATTTACATATTGGCTTGCTCACTTGGTTTTCACGCCATAACTTTAGAACACAGTAGTTTTACGAAAATCGCCTTTTTAAAAAATCAGCAGCACTGAACCCAATCATATCGCTATTTACCTGATTTCGTGCGCGCGGTGGCAGAAAACGTGGTAACAGACAGACTGACAGACTGACAGACTGACGGACAGACACACTTACGGGACAACTACCGTAACCCTCGCTGCGCATGCGCGCCGAGGGTTAATGAAAAGCACTAAAGTGCAAACCCTCGGCGAACTGCGCATGCGCGGTACCTCTAATTGATGGGCTGGGCTATTCGTTAATCGCGGAGTAGCTCGCGAAGAGTCTGACACGGGCTAGCTACAGTAGTAGATAGCATGCGGGAGTCAATAAAGGCCCTTCGTTGTGACTTCTTGTGCCTCCAAGGTACACAGAGCAAGCGGACCCGGTCGAGGTAAGCCTGTGCTAATTTGCATATTGGCTTGTTCACTTGGTTTTCATGCCATAACTTCTGAACGCGGCACTTTTACAAAAAAATGAAGCGCGCGTGGTGGCAGAAAACGTGGACGGACGGACAGACGGACAGAACAAGTACTGTAACCCTCGCTGCGCATGCGCGCCGAGGGTTAACAACAGCTAGGCTTTCAGCAGGTAATCATTACACTTCACTCCCTAAAAGAATGCTAAAAAATACCCACTGATTGCAATATGCTAGTGTATTCTGATGCAAGTGTGAGCAGAGTGCATACGTAGACAGACAGACAAACAGAGACAGGCAGGCAGCTGGACAAGCAAAAAGACAGACAGAATCAAGTTGTGTAAACCGCTCTAGCGCATCCACGCCAGAGGTTACAATCAGCCCAATCTTTTCGTAATGCATAAAAAGCCACGCTGATTATGCATGGCTATTTGCTGTAACAGTTTACTTTCCATGCCAAATCTCTTGAATGCACTCATTTAAGGAGATTATGTTTTCATGCTCTTGTAGTTCTGAAGAACTAACATCGCTCATAGACTGCCTCCTAGCTTGTAGTGCAAGAATAAGAACTAACAAAAGACCAAGTACTGTACCCTTCGCTGTGCATTTGAGCCACAGGGTAATCAAAACCTTTACTGTAGCTGGGGTATATCATTACCATTAACATTCATAATACATATCATTGGGCATACTCACACCAGAGGGGTGTTACAGCTCTTGCGAATGCCCCGCTGGTAACAGTGAGTACTGTTATACTTCCCTATAAAAGCAATACAAAATTAGAGATGTATTGTGAGGCGGTTTACCTGATTCTCAGGAGGAACTATGTCAGACAACAGTGCAAAGTTGAATACATAAGCAAGAGTCGCTCCAACAGACAGAAACAGCACCCCAATATTGAACTGGTAGAAATTGAGAAATGCTTGTTTGCTGAGGCAAGCATTATGGCAAGTGTGACAATGATCTCCAGTAACCCGAGACGAAGGGTTCCAGAAACATTCGTGATTGGAAGTACTCTTACCTTCGCAGTTGTCAATATTCCACTCAAATGTGCTATTGATGTGATCATTGATATTCTCAAATGAAGAAGTTATGTTATTACCATCCACCACATCAGTAGTTCCATTATCACCAGGTGATGGTAGGTAACAAGGGTTTTCCTTGTAATATAATACCTGCCAGTCACTAATCAGTGTATTTCCAATGACAATAGTCACCAGAGCAAATGCCATCCTTACTCTATTATTGCATTTCAGTGCTTGTGAACAAAACCTGCAGCAAGTGTATACGACTTATAAAATATCTAAACTCCAAACAAACACACTTACTGAACAAAAGGTGAGGCTAACCCACCAACTGCTAGTGCAGTGAAGAACAGAGCTGTATTATCTACAGTAAAGCCAAACTGGTCGCTCAGAATGGGTGACACAAGTGTATATAGCAGAGCAAATGCCTGTCCTGTGACATATGCATTCGCAAACACAAATGCAACACCCTATCACAAAGTCAAGGAAGTAACAGGTAATAATTGGCGAGCAAACTGAGCCCACCTAGTCATCTAAATGCGATACATACATGATATAGGTTCAGGCAGGTCACATACCATAATATTATACATTCTAAACACGTGAAATATGTGAAAAATTAAACTGCTATATACCTTCATAGCAAACAATATATTCAAGTATTTGTTTCAGGTTCTTAGAATCAGGGTCTGAGATTAGGGTAGCTATGCACTCTGGAATGTAATTAATTATAATTATATGTAACAGCTCCTTACAGTAAGCACTTGTGGTCACTCTGTTATGAGCCAATTATGCATTTAGTAGTTGCGCCAGAATATGCTCATGTATTGATGCAGCTACATTACTAAAACCCAGAACACAGACCACCTTCTGTTTATGTGATACAGCATACCCACGTAACGGAAAGTGGTTAGTGGACCTGGTTGGCTATATACTTAGAACCCTAGCATAACTCTATGACTTGGATACTATTAGATAGCTCTTTGACTTGGACCTCATTTTCCGGAAATCACTCCAACCACTTGTTATGTCACAGCTTGACTTGAACCTACAAGTCCAGGGCCTTGTCTCTGAGAAGAACAGCAACACTATGATTGCAGCAGTCACACCGAGAGCAATCAGAAACCATCCGGGCAGACGATATGGGTTTACTGAAGGAATCCTAACCAGACCTGCATTTATACCTTGTGAATAGGTGGATATAACAGAGAACAGGGGAAAGGGATAGAAAGTGGTCATAAATAATGTTATTGTATCATGCATCATATCCGTATATGTTTAGTGAGTTCTGGGCTTGTTGTGGAGGTGTGCAAGGATCATCGGCTGGCTATACGCTAAAAAGGCGACCAAAGCATTTAGCAGAAAGATGCAAACTAGTTATACATATGTGAGTTGGTACGGGACTTGCAGTTTATGTTATACCACAGTGCCACTCTGTTATGACCCATTCCCCAGAAACAGGCAATTACGCTAAAAAGCGCAGTATATACAAGAAATGTACGTAGCTCCAGAATTAAAATCACTTAAAGTCAGATAAGTGTATTTTTTTAACCTCACAATATCCGTAATCACTATCTTGCCATACACTCCCATTATTGCCTTAGCCAAGTGTTTTAAAAGGTTAGTTTTTTCTGATATTTGTGCCAATAACACACTGTTTATAATATTAAAGGAAAATCACACACCTGCCCACCTTCAGCAGTGACTAGTGGGGCACCAGAAACCAGGGAGAAACGTTCAGATTTTAGACGTACACATGCATGCGCAATTGTCGTGTTTGCTGCATAGCACACAAAAGAACGTCGCTACTAAGCTGTCAGCATTGTGCTTACTGTAGTAAGTGAATGAGGATCCGCCATGTCCGTGTAAAGAGCAAATTTTGTTTTCAGTTCAAAAAAAGCCATGATTGGTCACGCAACTCTGACCAGTGGGAGAAATTAGTGGCTGTCAGGATAGCAGGCAGGACGTAGGGTTGATAGGTCGTTTTCAGGACTGCCCTAACCATATGACACGGTTGACGTGGCGCAAATACATAGCAAAACTATTTGCTAATGTTCTCACTCACCAAGCCAGCGTGGAAAGGGGAATCATGAGTTAAGAAAAGCTACAACCATAATCATAAGGTAGTTTGATGACATCCATACTTACTGGTGCTTAACCACTACAGTGTTACCAGGCAAACCAATGGACATACACACACTCAGTCACACTATGTAGGTAAGTATATTAGCATTATTACCAAGTAAAATGATGTGGTATCCATGAGTGGTGAATGTGATTGCCAAGTACAAGGTGCCCTTTATTGGCTTTTTTCCCATCTTTAGTCGCTCCATATCCATAATAGAACCAATTTCTCCAGTATAGGTATAAATAATTGAAGATGCAAAAAGAGCCGCAGCACCCATTAGACCACGTGCAACAAAGACCATCCATATATGAGTGGCACATCCGTACACCACCCCAGCAACAGTGAACAGGGAAAATGTTAGTAGCATAAGAAGAGTGAATGGAAGTGAATCCATCATCAGCATTGGCAAGGGGAAAAGAACAGTTTCAAACAATGCGAACGACACTGATACTAAAGCATAGTCTCTTTCAGTGCCATTCAATCCTGGCCAGAGTGTATTTGAGCCATTTTTCTGTAGAAATCACATACAAACTAATGAAAGTACTTGAGTCTGTTCAATCTATTCTAGCAGTTAACCATGCAGGTATATAAATATTAAGAACCTGGGTTCAGAAATTGTGTAAGCTTCAATGCATCAATTGCGTTGCTAGATTGCCAATATAAAGTATGCAGACAATAGACAAATTTACCCATAGCAAAGGCATTACGCGTCTAAAAATGTGTCAGATGAAAAGCACTAAAGTACAAGCCCTCGGCGAACTGCACATGGTACAGTAGTAGATAGCATGCATGAGTTGATACACACCCTTCATTGTGACTTTGTTCCTCCGAGGTACACAGAGCAAGCGGATCAGGTCAAGGTTAAGCCTATACTAATTAGCATATTGGCTTGTTCAGAGTAGTTCTACGAAGATCGCTATTTTTAAAATCAAGCCAGTGTAGAAATGAACCTGTTGGTATCGCTATTTTGTTGTCTCGTTGCGCGTAGTGGCAGAAAACGTGGTAACAGACAGACATACGGATGGACTGAATGACAAAGCAAGTACTGTAACCCTCGCTGCGCATGTGCGCGAGGGCTAAAAATAAGCCACACCAAAGACAGCTATAAACATATTTTCCTGCAATGTCAACCGTGAGTCACACTTTTACACTCATTAGGCACTCCTTCATCCCTTCCTTTACTCCATGCCTACCCATCTCCTTGTTGAATACATGGGTCCCTAAACCGAACTTAACAAACACCATCACTAGTTACACACACAGTTAAAAACCAACACCTTACTGTCATTCCCTCCTCCAAACAGTCTCTCATCAGCATTCTCTCCATTATAAACTAAATAACCAACTAAGATAATAATTGTCCAACCACTCGGCCTTGAAGAAAAACTCGCATTACTCCAGTATTTCAAATGTTGACCTCTCCGTGGTTTAACATGCCATTTTTGAATTGCAGCTACCTGAATTTCGGCTTGGCCGCATATCCGTAAGCTTACATCAGTATCAAGCACGTATTCCACTAACTGCTTTATTAGAAAACCACTCCTTCAACTCTGAAGCAACTGTCTGAACGTGATGGCTTTCTTCCAGTACTCTAAAGTTGGCCCAACTAATGACAGCAAAAACTTAAACTAATATACCTGTTACTGTTCCAACACCTCATTTACACTTTCAATGCCCCATAACACAACACCCAAGTATATTGTTTCGATATTAGGAACCTAAAAACAACTGACCTTACTGACTCCCTAGCAAAACCAATTACTCACATCACACTTTAACCCCCATTACAGAGAGAATGTACCAAATCTTTTCGGCTTCTGTAACTGCACACCCATATAAAGAGCTCCAAGCTTTCCACCATCATTAAAATTAATACTCAGCAGTTAATATTGATAAAAAATTATTAACCCTCGGCGCCCATGCGCAGCGAGGGTTACGGTGGTGCCAGTTTGTCGCTCTTAAACGCAGTCGTTTCAGCAAAATCGCCATTAATTATTTTTCTAGCCCATGTAACACTAAAGCTGTTGGTATTGCTCATAAGCCGCCTCGTAGCCCGTGTCCGAGTGAGCCCAGCCCAGCCCAGCCCAGCACATCCATTAGCGGTACCGCGCATGCGCAGTTCGCCGAGGGTTTGCACTTTAGTGCTTTTCATTTTGGAATTAACCACATCCTTGATAAATTTGTCATGCACAAAATCACTCTCAATGCCTTTACCCTCCCAACTCCCAAATTTTACCTCTGATTCTTCAGAAGAATCCTTAGCTGCAGTTACAAACTGATATAGAGAGCGAGCTGTAAACATGATGTGGAGAAACAGTGTGGGTAACAGAGACCCTACAACTAATCATAAATGATTAGCCGTTGTGGCAAGGAAAGTCTCTACAGTCTTTTTCCTAAAAGGAAAACGTAACATAGTCACAACTGCAATTTAGCAAGAATAACAGTTACTGCACACAGATGGTGGTAGATGCTTTGTCTATCCTAAGTACAGTAGTACTTAGTTTATGGGATGGGCATGGTATTTCCTAGCATTATAAATGTATGGGGCTATGATAGGGAGTTTTGTATCTGCTCTTTTGTTTTCAGATTTGAACTCGCGTAACTCAAAAATTTGTAAGAATGTAGTGTCACCCGAGGAGGTGGTTACTTATTTGTTTGTAAACATTTTTTTTCTGTAAACAACAACAAATAGTTCAGGCAATATTTTAATGGATCGATGTGTAGTGTGGAAATGGTAAGGGGTAGTGTGAACGAATCACAACAGTGTTTTGTGTTTTTTTTTTGTGTTTTAAAAAAAACACATTTTTTTTTTGGGTTTGTGAACAACAACAATTAATATCCCCAGGCAGATTTTTGCTAAATTACTTCTTCACCCTCAAACTTTACTCTAAATGGTTAGCACACGCACAGAAGTGAAATTAGTACACACATGGGTCACTTACATCATTTCATGACGAATTCATATACATGTGTTTCTCCATGACCCCGACTAAGACATATTGTTTGAAACAACACAACAGCCTCAGGCATTCCGCTAAAAGTGAAACGGTATGCATGGAGATGAAACCTGGGTACACATGGTATTAACATTTCAATTTAACATCCTTTCCCCGACACAGAACACATGCTTCCCATGATCCAACCACATATTGTTCGAACAATGACAGTCTTTTTCTTACTTTACTTCACTCTTCACTCTGGACTTTACGGAGTGGCACAAAACTTTGCCAACAATATAGGGATTGTGTGCATAGGGTCGGGGTAGTCAGCGTGCTCCAAAGATCTGTACTTTAAAAAATACCATGGCTTCATGTATCCCATCCCCTATTTTGCCTCCCTTTCTCTTTTTACACCATCCCTATATGCCTCGATCTTTTAAATCACAGGATTGTAATTTTAACTTGTATTATAAGATGTCACTGGTCGAATTTGACAAAAAGGTGCTTACTCGTTAGCTTATACAGATCTATATAGGTGAGGTTTTGGCTAAAACAGCAACTGTTTAGTGTGAGTTATTATAGCCCTCCAATCATCAGCAAATTGCATCGTAACATACGTATGGGCTTGTCTATTACCTGCAAGCAGGGTTTTATGCCACCCACAGAGTGCATAAAATATGCTGTCAATACCTCTGGGTGGTTGCTGCAGGCATTTTGTATGTATTGTAACCTTTTGTGTCTCAACAATTGATTCTAATCGCTGTCTCTCTGACTGTTAATTCTTGTCAGGGACACCATAACAATTGATGGTGCCCAAGTTTTGATGCTTATAAATGTACTGTTAGAAATCCCACTTTGGTTCTTAGTGACACCTTTAAGGCAAATTCAGAAAAATGGGGCATAGTATACAATTAGTTCAGCATCAAGTGTGAAACAGCTACTATTCAGACACATTAATGCATGACACTGACTTCAACACCTCGGGCTTTTGCTTAGACAGATTTCCAGAAAACAAAGATTGTTCCCCTAGCCTCGTTTATGATTATGGAAGATTTGGCTCAATCCTCATCTATTACGTTAGCTAGTGGAGCTACCACACAATTCAGAACATTTAAAGTGCAAGGGTGATAGCTACAATGTGACATTGCTAGCTAACTGTACAGTGCCCTTCTCCCTTCGAAGCAAAACTGCTTGCTAACGTTACATAAAACATCAAGGGCAAATGTCAGGTTATTCAACTGTGGTAAGAAACATGAACTGGGAGTGAAGCAATACTTGGCAGTCCATGCTAGATTTTTTTATTGAGAAGATAGATGAGATGGAGGGCCTCCTCTAATACAATATAGCCCCTCATAAAATTCAACTGCAAAACTGAGATATTCTGGCATGCTAGACACTCTTGCATGTGTTACATTTGTGTACATAATTTATCTCTACACGTGCCTTCTAATCCAGCTTCTTGCGGGACTTCATCTAAAGTTAGTCCATTTGCTTTAGCCTGAATTGGTATTTTTTAGCTGAGTCACAAGTTTTACATATCCAAAGATATATATAAGAAATGGAGAGAACTCTATCACCTCCAAGCCTAAGCACTGCCTGTGTTCCTATCTTTAAAATTGTGACAACAAAAATAGTCTTAATGGGATCGCACATTATATATATTAGGGTAGGAGGTGGAGAAGAAAATGTATGTATCAGCTGCAGACGCCTTTCCTTTCAGAGCTACTGGCAAACATGCTGGTCCAGGATTGGTAAAGGCTTCAGTTGTCGTAAGCATACACTTGCTACATGCGGACAGTGATGAACTGTTCCTTATTGCTACACTGCATGGAAATGCCATATAAGCAGGTTTCCTCATTCATTGTATATCTGTGTTTCAAGCCTTGTCAAGGCCAAGTGATGGAGACTGAGTACACTGTCAACGTAGAGAATTTCAGAGTGTGGTGGCACTCACTTTCACTTTCACTACTTCAAATGTTGATTGAACCACTTTAACAAGTGCAAGGGTTGACATGTGCATGTGTGCGCCTGCCCCAAATTGCAGTATCAAGATTGACAGTGGTGGAGAGTGATTCGCTCTCTAAATCTTTTTAGATCACACCCACCCATCCTGTTATCTTTCAGATCAGTGTGACTTGTATGAGTGGTAAAGGATACAGACTCCACGGAAGGAGTCTTTCACCAACATGAAACCCTCTTGCAGTGGCAAAATGGTTTTAACATGACTGGGGAAACCCAATCCATGACTCCCTCTCTGATTAAAAAATGGATGAGTTGAGACTAAGCAGAACCTAAACAATAACTCCCTAATTAAAAGGGGTAGCTACTGAGCAACTTAGCCCAGACATCTGCCAACCTATACAATTATTACACTACAGGTGGTGGTGGTACAAAACCAATCTAGAGCCTTCCCTGCAGCAGAGATCACGTTTGGCATTTCAACACGTCCTGAGCGAAGCCGTTCCCAAAAAGTTTCAATAGAGCTGGCGAATTGGACAAAAAGGCCTAAGCCGCTATAGCTACAATAAAGAGACATGAAGACACGATGAATACGAGACTTACTTCTTACGCACACGCACATTCTTAGACAGTCTGTGTCCAGCGTACGGGAAAACTGCTGGCTGCAAATTGACGACGGACCCTCACAATACGCCTAGACGGCCATAACAATAGAGGAACAACGAGATTGGGTTCCTTCGCTTTATTGTCTATGATAAAGCAACCCGCTAAACTAGTTCATCCGACATGGCTAGATCTAGCTAAACCTGTATAATACGGATTCTGGCCAGCTCGCTAAGTGTCTTCCAACCTCAAGGTTCAAGGTTCAAACCACCGGAGGACAAGCTAGTCTCGTGCCCAGACCCCGCCGCGCCCCTCAATTAAGCAGCAACCATCATGTATGTACACCGCGGAGGAAAAGGGTCTCGTGACTATTGAGCGTTTTCTTGGTTGTGCTGACTCGACAGTCTTACTTTGAGACACGAATCAGATTGCAGTATTTGCCACACGACCGTGAAAATATCACATGATGTTATGTAATCGTCACCCAGCTCCGTGGATTCCGCGTGTCCACGAAAGAAAACGGGCTTTTCTGCGCATGCACTCGACAATGATGAGTCAGCACAACCTTTCCCTCTCCTTGAGGGCGGGGTCTGGGCACGAGACTAGCAGCCACAGAGCTTGCTAGCTAGCGAGGTTGTGCACGCGTCATCGCTTGCGTCACGTGCGCCTTAGAGTTGTATGTTCGCCCACGCAACCCAGTCAACCCTCCGAGTCAGCATTTTCTGCACTGGCGTTTTCAAGGCTACGAGTGTTCTCACTTGAAAAATGAAGCCAGTGTAGCGATGAACCCGTTGGTATCACTGTTTCGTGGTCTCGTTGCGCATAGTCGCAGAAAACGTGGTAACAGACGAACGGACAGACACAGTCACACACACACACTCACGAAAGTAACCCTCGCTGCGCATGCGCGCCGAGGGTTAACCTGAAACGACTGCGTTCGAGAGATATGCGTGAAAACAAGCGAATACGTCGATATGCACATTGAGACTGAATGTGCACGATTTGCACTTGCTTTTCCAGGCATTCCTTGCTGCTGGTCAAGGTCCTATTAGGGGTTACTGACCTAGCTAGAGGTCTAGGCCCGCCAGCCTCAAACCAAAATCACAGCTCGGTTGCACTCTATCTAAACACCAACATCCGCGGAAGAAAATCTTCCTGCCACCGACGGTCTCCCTAGTCTTAGTTTGTTTGTTTAGGGTGTTGCCCTGCAATAGAGAACTATTCACTGCAATTTACCAGCATTTCAGCTATGCTATTGAACCAAAAATGGTAACCAACCTCCCCCTCCCAAGTACGGGATCTTAATTGGAAAGCAATGTGGGCGCTACACTCTATTTTGAAAGCTACACAAATCACCATGGCCTTCTGAAGAGAGTTTGGTAAGGTGGAGTGCACACTGTTAGCAATATGGAGGGCAGTGCTAGACATTGATCATGACATGCTTTGTGGTTTGCTTTGCTTCCACGTGGTGCTATGAGTTAATTGGTGACAGCTTGGGTGGTGATCACAAGCCCTCCAAGGTGTGTTGGTAGTGCAATGGGGTCCTTGACAGTAGGATTCTGACCAGTAAAACTTGGATGGAAGTGTTGTCGAATAATGTTTCAGAGAGATATTCTGGGACAGTGAGGGCAGGGAAATTCAATATGCATGCCACCAAATATTAAGGCTGGGTTTCGAGGTTAGCTAGATGACTCCCCCAACTTGACCCTCCTCCACAATACACAAGCAGGTGAAAGTGCTCAACGTAAGCAGTGCAGATTTCTCAGCAGATATGCTAGTAAAAATCACCGTAGTTGAGCTTGTTGTACAGAGATATTATGTGGTAACAGGCAGCAGGACAATCCTCACTGAAATTGTACCTTGAGGGAAGACGTACCCAAGAACTTCTGCAGTACACCAAGCTGATGAAGAAGCTTTAAACCCACACTTACATACAAAAGAGAAAACGTGTCAGATAACTGGATGGGGTTAAATCACACCAGAAACCCACCCCTTACATAATTATTATGTGGGCTACTTTTAGCTGAGGTCACATGCAGCACTATAATGTTTAGAACACACAGTATTATATTACATAAGTTCTCGCTAGTGCCCTGGGATGGAATGATAGCTAGGCATCTCATAGTGCCCTTACCTATGGCTAGTGCATTATGTAACCTCGATCGTTATCAGTCCTTCCTCCTGCACAAATACACAGTACATAGTCATTGCACAGTGTGTTCTAAATAATTACTTCATTGCAAAACCATACGGAATCTAAATTTTTCCACACAAGGCTATTTGTTGAATAATCGTGAAACCATTCACTGCAGGTATGCACTGTATCATTTTCCTTGCAGGCAAAAGCAGATGTTAAAATGTTCAGTCTCTCTCTCTTTGCTTTGCTTTTGTTTTGTGTCTGAAGAAAATCTGTGAGATTCTTCTCTAGTAGGCCGTTCAGTGACATCACTGGTATAGGATGGAGTTCTGGTGCTGCTTTGCTCGCTTTTCTGCCTGTTCTCTGGCATGCATCACAGGTCTCAACCTATGGTACAATCCAAAGACCTTAAATAAGCGCTGCGCTCCAGGTAGCCTGAGCAATGCCTTGTGGTGATGAATCTCATTAGTTCAAAACCACACCATGGCAGCCTTGATAAAACTCGTGATGCCAGAGAGAGAGAAGTTGCCGTATGCTCTGCTGTGGATGAGGCGCCAGACAAGCGAAACAGCTGAGTCAGAGCTCCAGCATCTTTTTTCTCTTGGCATCACACTGTAATTTGTCTACAGTGATGACACCTGGCAGCTAGGTGCGTGCTGGCGTCATGCCACGGCCAATCCACGTGCAGTAGTTTTGAATACGGGGTTTTGGCTCCGGTGCTGACAGCAGGAGTGGGGAGGAGCTAGGCTCCAAACCAGCGAATGTCTGGGGCATGCGTCAGCGAGCTATCATAATCAGTGGCAAGCCTTGTGGGGATTAGTTCAGAACCACAAGTGCTGCGCTCCAGGTAGCCTGAGCAATGCCTTGTGGTAGTTCAAAACCACCAGTGCTGCAGCCTTTATAAACTCGTGATGCCAGAGAGAGAAGTTGCGGTATGCTCTGCGAATGAGGGCCAACAAGCCTGTCCTGAGCTCCGCATCTTTTTTTTCTTGGCATCACATGGTATTTCTACACGGTATTCTCACCAAACTTCAAGAGTGTAAACCTCTTTTGTGACACCTCACCACATAAATCTTTTATGCAAGTGTTTTCTTGCTGCCTAGGTGCCAAGATGTAGGGGTTTTGTGGCAGGAATTGCATCGTTCCTGTCCAGAACACAGACCTTACCTGCTCAGTAGGAAGCAGTCGCATAGGAAAGCGAGATACGGGAATAAGTCTCGGATGGTTGAGACATGGGGCGACCACTGTAGAAAGGTCCAGAATAAGATCAAGGACGGGTGGAAACATACTTCATAGACCTCGATCTCTACGTACACAATCCGGCATGGGACGAGTTGAGGACTCAAGAATGACAGAATACGAGATAATGAAAAGAGACCGCTTATAGCGGCACTTTCTGCTTCTCCGGTTAGACACTCTCCTTCAGGGTAGGTCTTCTCTGTCAAATATGAAAGCTCTCTGAATAATTTCTTCCTCAATTATTCTAGGACAGACTGCAGGAGAGTCCTGTCAATAGATGTCGATGAGTCCTGGAGAGTTGCTAATGATCCGTCTATGAGAGTCTTGCTTCCTTTTGCTGATTCCGCGTTCGCAAAAAACTCTGACTGATGTGAAAGTGCACTTTCTTCGCTCTTTTTATGCCACTAAGGTAGCACTTCGCAGTACAGGAAGAAATGTGCGGTACTACTGTACCGTGCATTACTTCCTGCACGCTCATAATGCACAGAACAGGGTGCGCAGCAGAGTAACACGCGTGGGCGACGACGTGAATGCAGCAGCGAAGTGAAACAGGGAGAAGACGTAGCAGTATAGCAGTGTGATAGAGGGCGTCCGCAGCGGCGAAGAGAAGAATTGGCTGAGAATATATTATCCAAAATAGTAGATGTATTTCTGATCATGCCGAGCAGCTAGCTCCTTTTATACAAAAAGGACAGGACCAAGAGGGGGGCATTAGATTGGGGGCCCTTAGTGACAGGTACAACAGAGTGTGGGTAGGAAGGATATGAGAGGAACATAGTGGAATAACTCAAAAGAACTCAAAAGGGTGACAGAATGCATATCAGACAGGTATAGGTGAGCATTTCTCTAAACCTAAGTGTCACTCTAATTCAGTTACCAGGAAGGGCAAGGGACGTAGGAGGTTGCATGCAAAGTACTTCACACTCCTCCCTCCTTCTCTGGCGACGAAGTCGTGGGGTCGTCAGTGAAAGCTCGAGAGAGAGAGAGGGACTATCAAGCGTTATTATTTGCCGATCCTGCTCGGTACCGGACGATGAACTGATAGGGCTGGAGGGCCAGGTCAGACGAGCATTGTCCTTCAGGCAGTCTAACCACTCCAACACGCGATGGTCTGTTTGGATGCTGAACCTCCTTCCCAACAGATAGACCCGGACGTTATGCGTGGCGGCTTTGATGGCGAGGCATTCTTTCTCTTATTGTGGAGTACCTCGTCTCCCGGGGTAGAAGTTTGCGACTGCAGAATGCCACTGGGTGTTCTACTCCCTTGTCATCGTCACGCTGGCTCAACACAGCACCGATACCTCTTTCTGATGCGTCTGTTTGTAGGATGAACTCCTTGGGACCGTGTGTGGCAGGAGGGGGGGGGACAATTACGGCTGCCACAGATGTTCCGGGGGGACCAGTTTTGGCGGGGGACCATCGACGTAAGAGTGCTTTGTCCTTGCATTCCTTTTGTTTCAATTTCTCGCTTTACAACTTTCGTATTAGGAATGCTTTCTTGGACTCAGAAAAGGTAAAGCTGTGGTCATGATGACGTTCTACAAGGCATTGTAGAGGTCTTGAAAGATGTCAGTACAGCTCCACATACAGTGCATTGCATGGGATTGCTAGAGTTTGGGTACATAAGATACTCCTTACGCCAAGCATCCTTGAAGGGTTCATTTCGTCTTGGTCGAAGAGGACATGCGCTCGGACCCGCGTGACCGCCCGGAGTTGAAGTAGAATTAGCATCTACATCTGCCAGAAGAGATCTACCGGAGGAGAGAGAGTCACTCAGCTCGTTGTCAGCCTCAGCAGGAAGTGATTGAATTTCTTCTTCACTCGATGGACCATGAATCTGTGACCTCCAAAACTCGTCCAACGACATTACCAGTCCTAGCTGAGCAAGCACAGAAACAGGTACAGTGGGACCTCCGAATAATGAAAATATTGGGACAGCAATTTGTTCATTGTTCAGAGGTTTTCTTTATTGAGAGGTATGTGTATATAATGGTAAAGCCGGTAGGTACATGGGAATAAGTTCATTATAGAGAGGTTTTCACTGTTGGGGGGGTTCATTATCGGAGGTTCCACTGTATTGCATTTTTCCTCCCTCCGGTTGCTGGCAAACACAGTAGATGTTGAAATGTTTAGTTCTCTCTCCCTTTGCTTTTGTTCTCTTTCTTTTACAAATCTGATATAGTTCTCTAGTAGGCAGTTCTTGAGATGGGTCCGTAGCTGTTGTTGAAGAAAGCACTGTACCGCGTATTACTTCCTGTAGCGCATAAGTAATGTGCAAAACAGGGTGCGCAGTAGAGTAACACGCATGGGTGACGATGTGAAACCGACAGACGCAGTGACCTGAAGTGAAACGGGGAGAGGATGTAGCTGTGTAGGTCGTAAAACACATTGTGACACGGCTCAGTGACGCTCAAAGATGCTAAGATATAACAGAGACACGTGTTCACTTGCGACTTGTGAATATTTCGGGTGGGGGACCAATTACGGACGCCACGGACGTTCCGGGGGAACGGTTTTGGCAGGAGACCATCTTCACTTGGCCGTTTTCTCTTCCGTGATGCACGTACTAGAGGCTGGTCCCGATAGGCCATAAAACACTAGGTTTTCGCCTTGTGCTTTATGACTATCTCGACCATGCCCTCTCGTACCTTTATTTCCCTTACACCTTCCATGCTTTAACTATGGAAAGGAGACAAGAAAACATTCTCCGAATTAAAGGTGTGGAATAAAGGGATGGCATAAAAAGCAAGGGGACGGGGATGACCTAGTGCATGCGATGCAGTAGTACAATGGATGATGGTTACTGTGGTGGATCAGGCTCCTTATAAACATGCAATGTAAACAGATGTGTGACCATTGTGCTCATGGAGTCAGTCAGTCTATGTAATCTTAATTAGTCATTGTAGTCCACTGGTCACCCAGCCTAGTCCGTATAAAAGCTCCATCTGTCGTTCTGTAACTGTGCCCGTCTTCATCATTTTCTGATGATAAGTCTATGACCATACTCTTCGGCAACCTGTGATGCACAGGCAACTTGGACTTGGAGCTCTGACAGTTACACTTCAAACTGATCTTGCTCATGTAAATTTTCCTCCACACCAGCCCTATATTGTCGCCACTCGTACACATGACATAAGTTTATATAGTGAATGATGTAGTGTGAAGACTGCCAAACTGATTCTGTATAGAGAGCAGCATTGTTAAGTGAGTGAACATTGAAATCTTAGACTACAAAATATAGTCACGATCCAAAACTGAGGACCAACCAGCTACCAGTCATACGTGCATAGGAAATGAGTCATAGCTGCAAATCAGATGACTCGTGATTTGCGACAATATAGGGCTTGTGTGGAGGAAAATGTACATGACATAACTCACAGTTGGTCATAGAATCGTTGATGATGACTAATAGTACTTTCAAGGCTAAGAGTGTGAATACCTTTGACTTTTCTACTCTATATACTACCATCCCCCATGACTCGATGAAGGATAGGATAAATGAGTTAATCGAGGAAGCATTTTGCAAAAGGGATGCCTTGTATCTCTCTGTTCAAGGAATGAAATGTGTTTGGAGTAATGACGGGAGGACTGGTGTTAATATCTCCAAGTCTCAGCTAATAGATATGATAGATTACCTAGTAAATAACATCTATGTGCAAGTGGGCAACAAAGTCTTTCGCCAATGCATTGGTATGCCAATGGGAACAAACTGCGCCCCTCTTCTGGCAAACCTCTACTTGTTTAGTTTTGAATATAAGTTCATGAAAGCTTTGCTGAAGAATAACATATCTAAGGCTAAGCACACATTTAGATGATTTATTAACATAAACAACCCTTCCTTTGAGAAAACATATATCCATCAGAGTTGATACTTAAGAAAATGAAAAGCACTCAAGTGCAAACCCTCGGCGAACTGCGCATGCGCGGTACCATTACGGACCCGCGCTCGCGGAGTCTGACATGACATGACACGGGCTAGCTACGGTAGTAGATAGCATGCGGGAGTCCATACACGCCCTTCGCTGTGGTTTCTTGTGCCTCCAAGGTACACAGAGCAAGCGGATCAGGTCGGGGTGAGCTAGCCAGCATACCGCGTTGGTCGCGTTTAATATACGCATGCGCACCGATTATTGATGGGTTGGGCCACGCAACGCGGTCCGCCAGTTTGTCGCTCTCGAACGCAGTCGTTTCAGGAAAATCGGCTAAAATTTTTTCAGGTTCGCGTAGTTCTGAAGCAGTTGGTATCGCTCATTAGCCACCTCGTGGCCTGTAGTGCCAGAATCAGCGTCTACACACTCACAGACAGGCAGACAAACCCTACCGTAACTAGGCCTGCGGCGATTATGCGGGCATAAAACTTGGAATAATAGGCAAGTGTAAGAATCCGGAACAATGCGGGAATAATCGGATGTTATGCGGCAGCGTCACGTGCACATGGATAGCCCCGCCCCCTCACACGCGATATCTATATATAATGGGCACGCGCAGCATCGGGACTCGATGTGAAATAACAATGTCCTCCGCTGTCGCCGACTCGGCCGTTACACTGTCCTCTACAAGCCTGCCGAGCTCCTCAGGGCAAACTACAGAAAGTGACAAGGAGTCTGGATCCTGCACGTTGCAAGACTATGTCGAGTCATCAATCATGTTACAGTATAATAAGCGTCATTGATTTGTCATGTGTCCTTTTGATGATTTTGCATGGGAATAACTGGAGAATAATGGGCAGGGATAGAAGAATAAATGGGTAGAATCGAAGAGAAGTGCGGAATAGAATAATAGGAAAAAATTGGAGCATAATAGCCTCAGGCCTAACCGTAACCCTCGCTGCGCATGCGCGCCGAGGGTTAAATGAAAAGCCAAACCCTCAGCGAACTGCGCATGCGCGGTACCTCTAATTCTGCGTTTACTCGTGATCTCCCGCTAGTAGCTCGCGAGAGTCGGACACGGGCTAGCTACTGTAGTAGATAGCATGCGGGAGTCGATACACGCCCTTTGTTGTGACTTCTTGTGCCTCCGAGGTACACAGAGCAAGCGGATCAGGTCGAGGTAAGCTAGTGCTAATTAGCATATTGGCTTGTTCACTTGGTTTTCACGCCATAACTTTTGAACGCGGCACTTTTATAATCAAGCCAGTGTACGGTACCAGTCAAAAAAATGCACCAAAACTACACTGTGTTTTTTTGTAGATACAACAAGACTACGCTGTGTAGTTCCAACTCCTTGCATTACACTACATTACGATTGTTGTAGTGTAAACCCTGTGTAACAGTATATTGTATCGGTGGCTACACTGATGCTTACAATGTCACTACACTAATACTACACAGTAGGTACACTGTTACCACGACTACAATTGATTGTGGGTAGATAATTGCTACACTGCTATTACTACAATGTGGTTTAGCAGTGCAAACATTGTAGCAGTTAAGAGTATAAAAGCCAGGTGCTAAATTTGACTGCAAGAGATTGACAGCCAACAGGTCTCAAGTGAGGTTCCAACGTTAGTGGAAACATTAGTGGAAACTTTATTGGTAAGTACGTACCTCTCTGCTCGGCACGTTTTTGTAGCGTTTAGCTTGCTCTACATAAGTAAAAAGTTAATTATGCTTAATAACTGGCAGGGATCGGTTAAGATGGTGCTCTCTACCTATGAAAAGCAGCGTATTTTGTTTTTCCACGAGTCTGGACTTTCACCATCACAAATATTATCAGCTCTAATGGCCGAGAACATTGTTACTACACGGCAAACTATAGCACGTTTCATTAAAAGGTTTTCGGCAACAGGTACAATATTTCGCAAGGACGGCTCAGGAAGACCTTCGAAAATAACCAATCGAGTACTGCAACTTGTAGAGCGAAGAATGAGAGAGGATGACGAGACTACTGCTGTTCAACTACATACTCTCCTTACTGCATGTTGCATATCAATAAGCTTATCTACTATACTTCGCAGCCGTTTATCTCTCTGGATGGACCTATAGGGGTTCCAAATACTGTCAATTAATCAGGAGTCAGAACAAACATAAACGATTTCAATGGGCATACGAAAATTACATAGAGAATCTTAATAATGGCTTTGAGGATGTGATTTGGACCGATGAGACTACTGTTCAACTGGAGAGCCACAGGAGGCACTCCTACAGGAAAAGGGGTGAACAAGCAACCCTGAAACCTCGCCCCAAGCATCCTATTAAGGTGCATGTGTGGGCAGAATTAGCAGACGTGGCCCTACACCTGTTGTGATTTTTGAAGGAATAATGAATGCCGAATTGTACGTCTCCATTTTGCGAACTGGCTTTTTACCTTATATATATAATGCATAATGTTTGGTTGTGGTGGGAGACATGAGGATGCAGGTGAGGCTGGTTGCAGGTGCCCGTAGTTCTGCGGTTGTTGTGGAAGAGATGAAGAGGTAGAAGAGGATGCTTGTGGATAGCACTACTGGGGAGGATACGATGGAGCAGTTGATGGCATATGTTTAAGAGGAATTGTAGGCATATTTTGAGACCAGAGGTTTCTTCGTGGTGGTGTGGATGGACGGCTGTAGTAACTATAAGCGGATTCTCTTGGGGATGAGCAAAGCGATTCTAATAGTGCACTGGTGTCTTCGTCACTAAGTTCAACAAACGCAGGTGTTGAGGTGGAAGTGGCAAGTGGTGGAGCGATAACAATAGGAGCTGGTACAATTGACATAGAAGCTGGTGGGGCCGGTACGATTGATGTGGGAGCTGGTGGGGCGCTTACAATTGATGTAGAAGCTGGTGGGGCTGGTACAATTGACATAGAAGCTGGTGGGGCCGGTACAATTGATGTGGGAGCCTCCCTCTGTACGATGTATGCCTGTTATACAAGCATATCTTTTTCTAAGAAGGAATGTATAAACCCTTAATCATCGAAAACAGAAATGTTAATGTGTTGACCCATGAGTGCCCTACTAAGAAAGAGATTGCTCTATGTTGCATTGACTCCCAAGGTATTGCTTCTTATGTTTTCTGCACATCTAATTAAATATGGCTGTATATCACAGGCACACAACATTCTATAATGTTTTCTTGCTGCGATTGTGAACCAACTGCTCTTACCATGGTTAGAGCTCGACTCTGGCCGGCTAGTCCTCGTCTCCCAAAATTAGCCTTCACATTCGAGTTGTTAGAATGGGCAGAAGCTCTTCTGTTGGAATGCCAAGTGGCTCTTGGGGATTTCTGCAAAGCCCTCCACTTTAAGTCCCCTCATTTAACCAATAAGGTAAATTCCAAGCACACACTATCACTAGAAGATTTACATAACCACGTTTGCTTTTTAGTCATGGTTGTGTTTTTTTTGCATTTCATCTTCATCTCCAGGAGAGAGGAAGCGTCATGATTTCTATGGATGCTCTATTTGGACTTCCACGGAAAAAGTCTGCCGGACAGAGTCATAGAGATCCACTTCATGGCCACATATTCTTCAAAGATCAACCTTCAGTTGATGAGCATGTTGCTAGTTCTTCTCGAAGAAATGCTTATGATAAGGTTTTATTTAAAATGCTTTGTTGTATGTTGGCCAGCATCTTTACTGCAATCAGGTGTGCAGTGACTTCTTAGCTGGTGATGTGCTACGATCATCAAATCGTTACAAAGCCCTTGATGAGACAGCTTTGTTTGGTTGTGCTTGTAGGCATGAATTTCCACTTATGTTCATCAATTTGAAACATGGAGAGAAAGGTAACTAAATGAGACTGCTTATTACCACTATGTGCTTGTTTGTTGACAGGATAAGCTATGCTGAATGGCTTTGCAAGAAATGGTTCAATCATATCCAGCTGAAATAAAGCTACATGTGATGTATGATAATTATAGCTTGCACTCTAAACAAGTATAATTATGCAGGTATGATGCAAGCGTGAAACATGCAGCTTTTATGTAATTGTCAATTGCATTGTACAGAAAGATGAAGGAAGTAATGTTTTATTGAAGAAAGTGCAGCTTTGCTTACCAAGTTTCCATGCTTATGGTCACAAACCACAGTGTCAGGTTTGTATAGTTTGTAGGTCACTTCTTGCAACAAGGGTTTTTATCATTGCAGATAATCTTCAGTCCATTGCGCTGTGATGGTTTAGGGCTCTCAGATGGTGAAGTAATGGAACGTCTTTGGTCCTTTTTACGCCGTTTCTCTCGCATGACAAAGGAAATGCGGCCAGCCCACAGAACGGATGTTCTTTGTCATGCTTTGATTTACTATGGATACAAGACAAAGAGAAAGCTAGGCAGGACCATCACCTAACCTATTACAACTATTAAGCTCTGCACCTGATAGGATCACTGTTACTAAACCGTTGGAAGAAAGCTGAACAGATGCAAAACAGGCTGACAAAACATTTGTACCCTTGGCACTAGCAGATGTGCTATCTCCTGTTTCTGAATTCTGGCAATGTCCTTCCAGTGAAATCCCAGTCAGCATAAAGAGGGACATCATATATAGACTCAAAAGATGCGATGAAGAGCTTCTTTTGCTACAAACTGAAATGCATAATGTGATCGACTACTACAATGAGAAGGAAAAGAAAATTATTTCTGTACTGCACAAGATCACAAGTGGTGGAACAAGTCAGTTTCACAGAGGTTGCATCTCTCTCTTAAGGAAACTTCATCTGGAAGTTGAGCTTTTTCGATCAATAGCTGTGTCTGCTTATGCCTCTGTGATTGCTGTCCCAAAGTCTCACCCTTTAGTGGACGCTGGACACATGTATGATAGTTGGGGCCACTGTGTCTCTATGGTCTATGTTCATCCACAGTGTTCATTGATGTAAATAATTCTCTTGATTATGGATCTTGAATTAAGTTGGTAATTATAACAGTAGCTATCCATGACTAATCCAGCTCTTCACCGTCACTTGAGCTCTCATACTCAGAGTCTGAGCTATCAGAAGCATCATTGACACACACATTATAGCTAACATTTCAGGTGATGTAGGAGGTCTGAACATGGTTTACAAGTCCATGTTTCATCTTCATATGACTTGTTAATATCCAGGGCAACACAATCTTTATGGTACCATTGCTTGCACTGATCACATGCAATCATGGGCCTTGCTGTATCATTTGGCATTCTGCACAAATATACAATAGAGCTTTTATGGAATTGACTTTCTGATTCAAGATCCAAATGCAATTCGGCGTTTGCCTACTGTGGGAAATCCTGTCATTTTCCCTGCTTCTAGACAGAGGAGCAGGTGTTGTCACAGCTGACTAGTGTCCCACTTACATAGTGTAGGATCACAGTAATGGGCCAATTCCGTTGCAACAGCTGCTGCAAACACTCCACAATCATTGGAGTTAGGCTGTCTCATGATATCAGCAACATCGAAATGCAAAACTGAGCAATCAGACTTGAAAAATGAACAAACTGGTTTTTCGAACCTGTGGGGTCACATTGAGTGGTCGCAGGGAATCATAGTACGTGACAGATTTTTTGCATGCACTCTTTTTCCCATTATTTTAAGATTTGAAACAACAGCCCAATGACAATCTGATATGTGAAGGATTTGGATGAATGCTGAATGTTTGGGTAGAGGTTTAAATGCATCAAATTTCCCTAGCTGTGTGCTCTGCCACCCCCCAATTTTTCCTCGTGTTTGATCACCGAGTAAGCATTGCACTGCGTACATGTGGCTGTCACTTAACCATTCATGTTTTGACTTCAGAAGGATGAAGATGATTGAGGAGCGTCGGAGGAGGAAGACATAGATGAGGATGATTGAGGAGCGTTGGAGGAGGAAGACATAGATGAGGATGATTGAGGAGCGTTGGAGGAGGAAGACTTAGATGAGGATGATTGAGGAGGGTTGAAAAAGGATGGCTTGGATGTGACCGGTTTGGGGAAAACAGGCTTAGACGAGGATAATTTGGAGTGTTGGAGAAAGAAGGGGATGATTTTGGAGGATTTGACTTATGTGACTTAGATAAAGATGATTGAGGAGGGTTGGAGGAGGATGGTTTGGATGTGACAGTGACCAATGAGGGTGATATGGAGGTGTTAGAGGAAGGTTTTTTGTGGCTGATGGATGTTTGGGATGTTGGCATTTGTAGTGGTGGAGGATGAGCTGCAAAGTACACATATTGATGAGCGATCCATCTCCAATAAATCGAATGCACTTACCAACAGTGACTAAAGCATGTAAATATTCATGCACAGCTGGGGTGAATGTCTCCACAGTGCCAGATGTGCCAATGATCTGTGCAGTGTGCATACTCCTTATGGAAAGCCACAGCAAAGCCTTTGAAGCCAAGACCATCCAACTCGTCATACTACAAAAGAGGAGTGAAAAACAACCTACAAAGAGGGTTGACTGGGGAACCTATAGAACTCAGGCCCACACACTCACTGGGGAACCTAGAACCTAGGCCCACTAAACCACGGGGGAACCTAGAACTCAGGCCCACACACTTACTGGGGAACCTAGAACTCAGGCCCACACACTGACTGGGGAACCTAGAACTCAGGCCCACACATTCACTGGGGAACCTAGAACTCAGGCCCACACACTTACTGGGGAACCTAGAACTCAGGTCCACACACTCACTGGGGAACCTAGAACCTAGGCCCACTAAACCACGGGGGAACCTAGAACTCAGGCCCACACACTTACTGGGGAACCTAGAACTCAGGCCCACACACTGACTGGGGAACCTAGAACTCAGGTCCACACACTCACTGGGGAACCTAGAACCTAGGCCCACTAAACCACGGGAGAGGGAACCTAGAACTCAGGCCCACACACTTACTGGGGAACCTAGAACTCAGGCCCACACACTTACTGGGGAACAGGCCCACACACTTACTGGGGAACCTAGAACTCAGGCCCACACACTCACTGGGGAACCTAGAACTCAGGCCCACACACTTACTGGGGAACCTAGAACTCAGGTCCACACACTCACTGGGGAACCTAGAACCTAGGCCCACTAAACCACGGGAGAGGGAACCTAGAACTCAGGCCCACACACTTACTGGGGAACCTAGAACTCAGGCCCACACACTTACTGGGGAACCTAGAACTCAGGCCCACACACTCACTGGGGAACCTAGAACTCAGGCCCACACACTTACTGGGGAACCTAGAACTCAGGCCCACACACTTACTGGGGAACCTAGAACTCAGGCCCACACACTTACTGGGGAACCTAGAACTCAGGCCCACACACTCACTGGGGAACCTAGAACTCAGCCCCACACACTCACTGGGGAACCTAGAACCCAGGTTCACACAGTCACTGGGGAACATATAGAACCTAGGCCCACTAAACCACTGAGGAACCTGTAGAACTCAGGCCCACACACTCACTGGGGAACCTAGAACCCAGGCCAGATATTCACCAGGAATACTACTCGCACTAAACCAGCTCTTCTGAAATAGTTTCTCTGCTGTTTTTCGCCCCATCCCGTCATTCCACTTGCATATAGGGATAGAAGAGTCCCAATTTATGCTGTCGGGAAAAGGACATTCTCTAGTGGTAGCAAACATGTCTCGCAGAGCCGACGGCAGCCGCTGGCCGGGGGAGAGGCTGACTAACGGGCCACGTTGACGGAAGGGCGGGAAAGGGTTAAATGGCAAACGTAGATCTACCGGGAATCTTTCCACAGTGCACACGGAAAAGGTTCCCGCGAGTTTTCAGTGACGCACTGAACGGAAGTTTCCGTATCGGGTGACACGAGCCAGCCGACTTAGCATGCGAACCTGACACCTGGAGATCTGCAGACTGGAGTATATACCTCTGATCACATGTGGCATGGCGCTTAGAAAGTACCTATGGCCTATCCCGTCTTCTTCGAGTGAGCTACCTGATGCAGAGTCAAACAGTGACCATCAACAAGACACTGATCATGCTGTGCACAGCTCAAACCTCTCTGAGTCTGAAGGTATCATCATGCGCTAACGATGAGCGCCTTAGTTTAGAGCTGTGCTTGAGTCTACCTTTTTTTACCACTGAAGTCACCACGACTGGAGCCCGAGTCAGCTATGGGCACTTCTTCGTGCAAGATTGACAGCTGTGACATTGGAAGTTACATGAGAGTGAAGAACATTACGATAGTGCAAAGTTTCGCCTCCTTACAAGTCACTTCAAACCAGGTCAAAGCTATTCTTTCCCTCGTTTTGCCACTGGGCGTAGATTTCAGCATTCAGCATATGGTTGCATCAATTCCAACCATGGCTTGTTTACAGTGACGTAGCTAAGGGTGGATTTCGTTCACCATGTGCATTGTTTGCTACTACGCATCAAGGAGTTGATCTTGGCACTCTGGTTTCCCGACTGATTACTCTTAGCAAAGCATTAGAAATCCTTGGTAAGCACAAAGAGAAAAAGTACCATTTGACGGCAATTGCAAAATGTGACGCGTTTCTACGTGTAATGCAAGGCCAGCATTGGAATAAATCTGTTGCCGATACAGTGGCTACCAATCGACAAATGCTGAAGTCAATCATTGAGACCCTGAGTTTTTGGGGCTGTCAAAATATTCCTTTGTGGGGTCATCATGACAATCTGACTGATATCGAAAGGGATCCTGAAGATTCAAGTGGTCATGGACATTTTTGTGCATTGCTTCAGTGGTCAGGAGACCAGGTTTTGGCCAAGCACCTTGATGAAGCTGCGAGAAATGCTACTTATACATCAGCTGACATACAAAACCTTGGAATAATTGAGAATCACATTCAGGGACAAATGAACAGTGGCCAAGGCAGTGTGTTTTACCGTCGTAGCTGATGAGGTTACTGATGTATCTAACAAGGAACAACTAAGCATAGTACTTAGGTATGTACATTGTGTTTACTTGGGCTAGTGCATGTACATGTAGTTTTCCCTTCATAGATATGCTAACACTAATGATGTTGTGTGTGAAGATGTTATTTGGGTTTGTGTAGTGTGATGCGGGAATTACTGGTGCTGCCCTAGGGACTAAGATTTTGAGTACACTTCAGGGGTATGGACTGGACCTAAAAAAATTAAGGGGTCAAGCTTATGATGGAGCTGCCAATAATTATGTCCGGACCTACCAGAGGAGCTGCAGCCCTGATCAGGGAAAAATACCCTCTGACGTTGTACTTACATTGTGCATCACATTGCCTCAATTTGGCTGTTGTGAAATCTTAATTAAGTAAATGATATGACATGCTCATTTTCTAGGCATTCTCAATACGATGAGTGTCATTGAAAAAGTGTTCATGTTATATTCAGCGCATCCAAAGCGCCAGCGAGCTCTTGAAGATGCCATCAAAAGTGTACAACCACACGTGACTATCCATATGGTTAAGGATTTGTGTCAAACTCGCTGGGTACAGAGAATTGATGCTTTTGAGTCATTTTTTACTCTCCATTTGTCTATCGTTAAGTGCATGGAAGAAATAAGTACTCAAGCCTCTGCTGTATGGTCTACAGATTCTGTTAATGACGCTAGAACATTGCTTTTGGCTTTGTCAACAACCAACTTTATTGCTGCACTAGTTATAACACACAGCTGCATGGGATACCTCAGGGCATGAACCTGTAGCCTACAAGCTGAAGCAAAAGACACTGTTGAAGCTGTTGACGAAATCAATACTGTCCAGAGAGCCTTACAGACCATCACGGACGAGGTGGACTTTCAATGGTAAATAATTTGAGACACTATAAAAAGATCATAATTATTGTTCATTGTTTGCCTGCAGGTTAAAAACTGTTGAAAATATGTGCCTAAAAGTTGGTACACAGCCAATGTTGCCAAGAATTTGAAAGCAACATCGAATGAATTTGCCATCTGATACACCTTTGGAATGTTATTATAATTATACCATAAAAATACCACTCCTTCATCATATCCTGGTTCCGTTGTCCAGAACGGTGGACGCATGCACACAAAACGACAAAATGGGGGTTCGGTTCTGCGGAACCCTGATCTGCCACTGCGATAACCTCAAACCTCAAAGTTCATGTTTGAATGGGCCCGCCCAGGCATGACATGTATACAGACAAGTTAAAAAACATGTAGGAAGCATAACACATGACCGAAGAAGGTGGGGCCCATGGTCAAGTAGAGTGCACCAGGAGTTGTCACTTTTTGTGTAGTTGGTGATGACATGTTCGGCCAGAGTAGGTTTGTCCAGATCAGCTGTATCGCACACAGAGGACATTTGCTGGGTGAATGATCTGGGTAGGTAATCACCCTCACAAGGTTCTTCATCCCCTTGATAACGGAGGGGCCGTGATCCAGTGCATGATCCAACAACTTCTTCCACCCAACACACTCGTCGATCTTGTGCACAAACTGATGTTTGGAGACCTTTTGTAGCAGCAGCAGTTGGTCTTTCTTGTTGATGATCTTTTGTGCATTTCTAATGATGGCCCATCTGCGAGCTCATTGGCACTCAGTATGTCTGATGTAAAATTCAACTTGTACCTCTCCTCCAGTTCCCTGCATTCCCTCACTAGACTGAGTGCCTCCACGTCATCTACCATAGCTGAGAAAGCTCGATGACAGATGCTTTCTTCATTTGTCATGACTCTCTGGAACCTTAGTTTTCTGATGGTGCAAACTAGTTCCAGCCAAGTGCTACGATCGCCGCGGTGTTGGAGTACCATTTTGGCAGTTTCAGGATTCTTTTTGCGATCTCTCCTTGGAAACATTCGAGCATTCGGATGGATTCAGGTGACAGAACCCAGTTTTCCACCTCATAGAGAAGAATGGGTAGAACACATGTCTCCACTATAGAGCAACATGATACAGGGCTCAGCTTGCCCTGAAAAGCGTAGATGCTGCCAAACTGAAAGTAGGCCTTTTGTGCTCTCTGAATGCGATTCTGTATTGAAGACAAATCCCGCTTCCACTGGTATCCTAAGCAAATTGCTTCACCACTCACGGGAAAGCTACATTCACCAACCTCGATGCTTTCTTGGTTTGTTCTGCTAGACGATTTCTTGAAGGCCACGATCTCACACTTGCAGGTATTCAATTTCAGGAAGTTGTCTTCGGTGAACTTTTTGATAGTAGAGATCTGTGCTTCAAGTGTTGTTGTAGAAGAGGCTAACGTGCGAATGTCATCCACGTGCAGCAAGCCACCCACATACATGTTGTTTACTGATGCACCAATGGAGAGTGACTGCAGTTGTCTTAACAGGGGGTCCATGACCAGTAAGAATAGCGCTGGTGACCCCTGTCGCACCCCTCGACCCAGAGCAAAGGGAGAGGATACATGCTGATCGGGGCGGGGTGTACAGAACTTTTACTATCGATGTATATACCAATTTTGTAGTATACACCACGTTTTTGAGCCCTTTGGGCGCCATAGGTGTCTCCTTAAATAAGCAGAAATTGATGTATAACATATTAGTGCCTAGTATTATAGCCATATATAAATTCTTATGCACTTATGGAGGCTCTGTGCAATATATATATGTAAATTGCGCCCAAAGGGTCACCGACATCAAACAGTCTCTTCAGAATGATGGGGAACTCGACTGAATCAAAAGCTTTTTCCAAGTGATAAAGACACATATACACTTCTCCCCCTTCTTGGAGATATCGGTTTATCACTTCTTGAGTGGCAAAAATTGTGTCTGCACAGGATACACACTTCCTATAGGCTGATTGGTTAGGATGTGGCAAGCCAGCCTCCATGAAGAGAGGCTCCAGTCTGTTGAGAATCAGGGTTTCTAAAACTTTGGATATGACTGAATTGAGGGTGATACCTCTATAGCTGTTTGCATTGAGGGGGTCCTTGCCTCCGCCCTTGTACACAGGGATAGTAATTCCTAGTTTGAGGCACGACGGGATCAGCTCTACATCGACAATGGAGTTCAAGATCTCTGTTAGCCACGTGATGATGGTTTGACCCCCGAATTTCAGGTGTTCTGCAGTGAGATTGTCTGGTCCAGCAGATTTCTTCCGTTTCATCTTGTTCACAGTGTGCTCTACCTGAAAGGAACGCCCAGCAAGACCTCTTCCTTCTGGAAGGTTGCGGAGAGCAGGGGTGATGACTGTTTGATTAATTCTTTTAGTGCAGGATTCTTCTCTTCTTGTGATTTGGCAAGACTCTGGAAGTGCTGGGTCCATGCCTGTAGGAGTTGTGATGGATCAGAGACCAGGGCTCCATTCGCACCAAGACGTGTACATTTAGACTTCCCACGTTTCTGTGGGATACGGAACCGGAGATGGGAGTTGGCTCGGAAAAGTGTCTCCCGTCGTTGTACTCGCCTTCTCTCTTCCATAGCAGAACAATATTTTATTCGATGCCGGACCTCTCTCCGCAAAGCACACTTGGCATCGTACGAGGGACCACTAGAGGGCCTGCCCTCTCCACTCCACACTCTCCATGCTTCCTTGCTTTTTGCACATAGTTGTGATAGTGTCCTGTCCCTGAATCTGTGGGCCTTACTTGACTTCAGCACTGGTAGTGTCTGCATCGCATCTAGAGCTGCGTTCAGCGCGCATGCGCACCTAAGGAAGGCCCCGACTACCGAGGACAGTCCGCCATGGGTGAAGGACTTTATTGCCAGCTTCTATCAGGTTTTGCCCTGCATTCTCCCATTGAACTGCCCAGCGGGGCAGTCGTGTCTGTTGGACGTGGACCAGTAACAAAAGTGAGATCAAAAAAGTGCTCCAGGACTCAGGTGAGCCGCGAGTGGAAGTTCCATTTATTTTCCGGTTGACTTGTTTGGTACCTATTTGTTAGTGGCCCTAGCGCCTGTTTTTGGAAAGAGGTCTGCGTGTTGTAGCAGATGCTTTGTGTGTGCGTGTGTGTGGCTGCAGCATGTTTTGCTTAAATCATTTGAGAACTTTACCATTAAAATGGGCAAACACTAGATAAACACAGGGGCAAAGGTCGAGGGGGATATACTATAGCTATTTGCACAGAGCTGTACAAAAGGGGGTGCCGTTTGACTTCTTCCATCTGATTCCTATAACGTTATTGTATAGTTGAGGGTTCATTTTCCTTTTCTGTGGCCTGTGCGTCAATATTTTAATGTTGAACACACTGGTGTTGAGTAACTGTCACAAAATTCGATGAATAATGTGTGTATTGTTGAACGTTATTCACCAGACATCCGTTTGTGCATTCTTTCGTATGTAGGTGTATATTTAACCCTCAGCGCGCATGCGCAGCGAGGGTTACTGTAGTTGGGTTTGTCTGTCTGTCTGTCTGTTACTTTCAATCTCACCTCTCGAATGTCTGTTCGTCCCAGAAACGATACCATCTACCCAATGGGCGACGAAGGTCAGAAAATATGTGGGGTTTTCTCTGAAAATGCTCCGTTGCAGAGCTAGAGTGCTTCCAGCATTGTATGGCTAATGCCGGTAGTCACCATGTTATCGCTGGTGGATATTGCGCATACGCTTATATTTAGCACTCGACCGGGTCCGCTTGTTCTGTCTATCTTGAAGGCACAAGAAGTCACAATGAATGGCGTGTATCGACTCTCGCGTGCTATCTACTACTGTAGCTAGCCCGTGTCAGACTCTCTGCGAGCTACTTCGTCGAGGGTTTGCACTTTAGTGCTTTTCATCCCTTCATTACTAGTAAGTTAAAGTATGGGTAATTAATTCACTGTGCGCATGGTTACGGTATATACACTGTTTGTGAATGTGTCATTCTGTCCATCTGTCAGTCTGAAACCACATTCTCTGCCACCACGCCACGACAACAAATAAAATTGGTACCAATAGCTACACTCAGTTGATTTATATTAGGCGATTTTTGTGAAAGCATTCTATGGCGTGAAAACCAAGTGATCAAGCTACTATCCCATACTAGAAGGTGAATGCGTGGGATTTTTGGCTAGCGGGAGCGAGCCTACTACTATATCTAAAACGTGAGTGTAGCTGCGGATGAAGTTTGCATTTTCCTATAACATTAATCTGTTTCAGTTCTGGCGTATCCACTGCTCGTGCGTGTTGCATAGCAGTCCGAAGGGGTGCCTTCATTGCTTGCAAGGTTTGGGGTGCATGTCGTGCCTGATGATGAATACGGCGTCAAGCAATGTCGCTCCCCGGCCTTCTCAGGAACAAGATGCTGCCTTCTGCGTGCTCCGTCTCTCGCTCTGTTCAGGAGTCTCATAGGCACACCGTTTGCTATCCCTTTTTCTTCAGCTGCAAAGGGAGTGTAAATGTACATGAACCATCCATATACCGAAATAACAAACAATATTCTCTTTCATGCAGCCGCGCATGCGCATTTAATGGCGTATGTGTATAGAAAATGTGTGCGACCAGGTTAGCTCGCTCTCACTTGCCAATAAGCGCAGGTTTACCTTCACTAAATACGCTTGCTTTTTGCATCTTGGAGGCACCAGAAGTTTCAATTGAGGGTTAGCATGGAGTCCCGTATGCTAACTACTAGTGTATCTAACTAGTGTCAGACTCTCAACTGGCTACGAGAGGCTATGACAACAGCGTAGCTCAGCCTATCAGTTTTGTGGTACCGACCTGCACATTTTTATGAGAGTTAGACGAGCATGAATTTCTTGTGTGACGCTTCAGTGCTTTGTTGCAGGATGCTAAAGTATACTTCGATAGTCAGCATTTGTTTCTGGCTGAAACAACTGTTACTGTGTATAGTAGTCCCAGTAAAGAGACTGATCTGTTGTCTCAGCCTTGTAAGTCCATGAGTTTGCAGTTTGCAAAAGCCTGCCTTACCCAAGGGCCAGCGAGCAATGCAACACCTTGTACCTAGAAGTAGACTTGTTATACATTTAATGGCAGCGTCTGAATTGGGTTGTCACTCCCCAGTCGAGGAAGGCTTGGACGTGGCCTTAACCTACCCAGCTCCATGGCAGGCCCTAGCCTCGGCTCAGATTAGAATTCCACTTAAATTGAATGCAACACGAGCGAATGCAAGCAGTTAAATATTCCATGTGCGTATTTGGAGTCACGTAAGGTGTGTGTGTAGTGGAAGTGCCTGTCACAAAGATATCTGAGTTATGCTTGAAATGTCATGTCCTGAAGTATACTACTATTGTTATGTTTTATAGGTGGAGTTAACTGCCAATTTTCACTTGAGGGAAGTTAGCCTAAAGGTTGTTGGAAAGAATCCATCTATAGTTGCTAATGAAAAGCTAGAAAGAGGCAGTGGATGTACATTAGGATGTGGTGGAACATTTGAGCTTATATCAGGATACAAATACCATATATTTTTTGTTAATAAAGTTTGTTTTGCTGAAACTGAGCATGATTCATGTGAAGAAAGTAAAGCATCAAAACGAATGAAAATTGACACTATGGAACCTGAGATGAAATGTTATCAATGTGGTACACTCATAATTTGTAAATATGGCTCTCAGTACTCGTCAGAAAAAATCTCAGCCTTTGATCTTGATGGAACATTGATAGAAACTGCTTCGGGAAGAAAGTTTGCAAATGATTGTACTGATTGGAAATTAATGTCGCATGTGAAAAACAAATTGCAAGAACTTCATGAAACTGGGTACAAAATTGTAATATTAAGTAACCAAGGTGGTATTCGCCGTGGCAAACCAACAAAAGAAGAATTTACAAGGAAGGTGGTTTCAGTTGCTCAATCACTAAGTGTGCCTCTACTTGTTCTGGCTGCAATTGGCCAAGACATCTATAGAAAACCCTGCATTGGAATGTGGAACTACCTTCTTGAAAATGAAAACGACCAAGTTGTGCCAAATCTGTCCTCTAATTTTTATGTTGGTGATGCTGCAGGTAGATTGGCTGATTGGACTAAAGGTATGTAGTTAGTTTACATATTATGCTGCTAACTTAGGAATTTCTGTGTTCCACACAGAGTAATATTTAGAGTTCTCATTTGCTTTTTCTTAGAAAAGTTTTGTCCTGGGTGTCATGTTTGTTTGCTTTAGGCTTGCTTTCATACTCACTTTGAATTAATGTAGCATGCCTTTAAATTACCCAGGCCTGCTACTATGTGTAAGCAAGTGGTTGTGGGTTCAAATCCTCACCCTAACTTGTGAATTTCTGTGTTCCACATAGGGTTTGCCTTTGATTTGTATTGTGTTGTAGAGTACAGAGCTAATTATAACTGTCGGACAACGCCGTTCTAATACCATGCGCGGCCGGTCAAGTTTAATTTCCTGTGGACAAAATGGCCAGGTGAAAACGCTGCGAGAGTCTTGGCGAGAATTCCAGTGCTAGCAAGCGGTCGAAGCGGCAAGTGGCTGTAACAACTTGTAAGAAGTGGCAGAGAGAGTTCGATCGCGATTACCAAACACTTGTGGCTGCAGTATGACGTGACACTGCCAACAGATTGCTAGTCGACACGCTGTGGTGTGAGGTCTGCAGGACGTACCAAGTGAGGATACAATACAAGAAGAACTTCTCCGCTGTGTGGGTGACTGGCTCGACTAATCACAAAAGCAGCAACATCGTCGATCACGGCAGTCACTTGCATGGCGTACTTATCAAATTCCTTTGGCGAGCGTTGAGGCGACTAGGGCGTCCGTGACAGGTACATAGGGGCTGTTTGGAAGGAGTGGCCCAGTTCTAGTTGGTGGTAGCACAGATGGGCTTCTGTTAACGTAGGCGTCCACAATGGAATGAAAGGGCAGCTGCAGTCAGCACTTCCCTGGGCCTGGTGTTACTCCCACTGTCTGGAGATGGCTTGTAAGGATGCACTCACCAGTCCCTTCTTTGCTAACATCAATGAGATGCTTCTTAGGCTGAACCATCTCTACAAGAAATCCCCTAAGGAGCTGACCATGATAGTTGAAGAGCTGAAGGAAGTGTACCAATTCCGGAAAGGAGGTTCTCTACCTGTTCGTTGCCAGGGAACGCGATGGATCAGTTACAAGGGAAAAGCCCTGCAACGAGTGGTCGACCGGTTTGGGGCATATGATCTAGCAGCTCTGATAGAGGATAGTACAGTCAAAAAGTCAGTGACAGGGCCCGTTTGAAGGGTTACCTTTAAATGTGGAACCAAGGGAAGATCCTTGTTGGGTGTGCCATCTACATTGAGATATGGAAAGCCCCTTCAATTCTAAGTCTCACCTTGCAAGAGGAGCAAATCGACATTGTCTCAGGGCTCAAGCACATCCTGAAGTCTGCAAGTGCCCTGCAGACTTTGGCGCAAGTTGACCCAAGGAACTGGCCAACTGTCAAGCTTGTTGTTGGGAGAGTCTGTGGCCAGAAATTGTACCAGGGTGCAGAATCTAGATGGCAAGATGAGGGAACGGTTGGAGTGGACTGATGTGAAGCTGCTGCGAGCAATCCCGGTTTTTCTGGATACCTGCAGTTGGGCTGCTCGAGGAGAAATGACGGATGATTATATGGCTGAGATCAGAGCAGCAGTGGAGCACATTGTCACAGTCTTCCAGGAGCCACTGGAGGCAAAATGGGCACATGATGAACTCGAGGAAGTGGTACACTTTTGCAGGAGGTACTAGGATGAATACTACAGAAAGGTGTGGTTTAAGCTCCATTCCACCCACGACTCACGGAAGTGGCCAACTGTGCTTCTCCTCAGTGAGCTGCTTTTCAGTCTTCCCTTACATTGTCACAGTCTTCCAGGAGCCACTGGAGGCAAAATGGGCACATGATGAACTCGAGGAAGTGGTACACTTTGCAGGAGGTACTTGGATGAATACTACAGAAAGGTGTGGTTTAAGCTCCATTCCACCCACGACTCACGGAAGTGGCCAACTGTGCTTCTCCTCAGTGAGCTGCTTTTCAGTCTTCCCTTAACAGCGAAGTAAAAAGGATGTTCTCCTCCCTCAAGGTGATAAACACTGATCGTCGCTCCAGCCTCCAAATCGACACAATTGATGACTTGATGGAAATCAATGTCGAGGGGCCATCTCCAGTGAACTTCTCTGCTGAGAACGCAGTAGATTTGTGGTGGGCAGATCGTCGTCATAGGAATACAGGCCAAGCGACTGCGATCTCCATCCACTGATGATGCATTTAGCTTGTGAATGATTGGGACGAGTGGTTTGCATAGTGTGTGTGTATATGCATTTTTGTTGTATTATGTGTAACTCTCACTGCTTGTTGATTTGTGACTGACCATGTCCAATCAATTTTCAACGTGGCCTGACATATTGATTTATAATTAGCTCTGGAGTAGACTAGGAGTCCTTCCACGTGAGCAGCTCGCTTTGCACTTGCTTGGCTTTCCTACCTCACACTACACTCATAAGAGACAGAGACATTATTAAAATGTGTGTATTAACATGCAATCAAACGGTCTCGAGCAATTGATTTTACCTGGATTAAAAACACGTTACTGCGCGAGGG